AAGGATCAGAGTCCAAATCCTGCTTGTACCACTAACTACTATGTGACCTTGGGGAAACTCAGTTATGACTTCTGAGCCTCAGTGTCCTCATCTATGAAATGGGGGTAGGGAGTCCAAACTTAAGAGTTACTGTAAGAGGCGAGATCATATTTACCAAAGTAGCAGGTCCAGTACTTGGCACATAAAGTGCTTAATCAGTATTAGTCTTTCCCCTGCTCCTCATATACCTGCATTTTTTATGCAATTTTGTAAAAATGTTAAGAAATTTTTTAATTGCATCAGTGAAAAACATTGTCCCTCCCGGTCCATAAGCCACAGGAGAAAGATTCTTGGAAAGAGAACCAGAAGACTTCAGTGCAGTTGTATCTCTGCTATTTCTAAGTCAGGCCCTCCCTGGACCTGTCTTCCAGGCTATAAAGGAAGGCTGTCTACCACACTCCCCCACCCAGGATGGTAAAGGGGTTAGAGCAGATAATATAGGAGAAAATACTCTGAAACCAGTCAGCACTCTAGAGATGAAAGCAGGCACCATCATTTGAGTGCAGGTCTTAGGTAGACACTGTCATGACTCTGCTTACGGGGACTCCAAACTGCAGCTATCTGTTATGTATGTGAGCCATCCCAGAGAAGACAAACCACAGAAAGGAAGAGAAGAGTCTGCTGCAGGGGGTGAGGTTAGAGCACTCAGCAAGCAATCCAAATTCTGTGGTCCTGGTGGGTGTGGTCTCAAGTGAGATGGAAATCAACAAAGTGTAAGCCCTTCAGTTGCCACTGGTTGGATCCTTTCTGAAACTAACAGGGGTAAGAAGGGTGTGCACACAGTCTACAGCAGGAGTCCCCAACGGGTACCGGTCTGTGGCCTGTTAGGAACCGGGCGAGCAGCGAGTGAGCTAGGGAAGCTTCATCTGTATTTACAGCCGCTCCCCATCGTCCACGTTACCGCCGAGCTCCACCTCCTGTCAGCGCAGTGGCAGCATCAGATTCTCATAGCATCGCAAATCCTGCTATGAACAGCACATTCCAGGGATCTCGGTTGTATATTCCATCCCTCCAGCCCCTCGCCTTCTCCATAGAAAAACCATCTTCCACGAAACCAATGAAACCAGTGCCTGGTACCGAAAAGGTTAGGGATCCCTGATTTAGAGCAAGATGGACTAAATGGAGACTATAGAGAATCTATTAGGGTTTGTTCATCAATCAGTATTCAAGGAAGAAAGTCATCTTGAAGGGATGAGTGTAGTCTGGAGTCTTCTAGTCATCAGAGAGACACAGGACAGAAATCCAGCTTTTCCTTTAATAAAGAAGTGGTCATAATCACCATCAAAGCCATATTATCTCTCCTCATTGATTCTAGGATCACCACCCCAGTAATAACAGTAATTCCATCACTACTAGCAGCTTGCATTTATAAACACGATTTACTGGCACTGGGCTAAATGCTATATGTGCCTCCTATCATAAATCTTTATCATATCCTATCACTAGAACAGGCACTATCATTACGCCCATTTTACAGATGATCAAATAGTGGTTCCAATGATCTATTTGGAAAATCCTTATCCTTAAGAATTCAAAATCCAAAATCTTTCACCAAGGAAAGGATATATAAGGGTAAAGAACATTCCAGTCTCTCAAATGTATATAAATCAGTATTTAGTTTTTCACACTCAATAAAAGACAAAGAAGACAGACGTGGTCAAAAAGAGATGCTCAGTCACTCATAAACCTTGAAGAGTCCTAGTCTCCAGGCTTCTTTGTGGCAGACGATTTGGCCTTCATATGGCTGGCTCATTTTCTGGCATGAGAGAGTATTATGACTAATGCAACAGCAGCTTAGAGGTGCAGGACAGCTGGACCAATCAGAACAACTTGGATAACTTGACATCAGTACAGAAGGCAATGATTTCACTTTCTGCTTCTTACTGCGTACAGAAGGGGGGAAGAAAAGACTTAGCCATCAGCCTAAAAAAAAATAAAAAGAAGAAGAAGGAGAAGAAGGGGGGAAGAAAGCCACCAAGCTGGAGCTCGGCAATTAGTGCTGGAGTAAGTGACCGTCTTATGACTGCTCAGCTGGGGCCTGAAGACTTGTAAATGCACTTAGAGGACAGAAATAGAAGATATTGTGAGACAGCAGAGAAACCTGGCCCATTTGCCAGGAGAAAATGTCCCGGAGCTGCCGGGAAATTCACTCAGTTGAGATGTGGGGTGTGTCTCTGTAAATGGGAAAAGTTAATAAGTAAACCCATCGATGAAGCACGTGCACATGGCTGGACCTCTTGACTCTCCTCTCTGGGACCCCCAGGCTCCTCCTCCAGCGGCCCCTGGGCCAGATACTGACCCTATCACGTGGATCTGAGCAGCCAGCTCATCCTTAATATGCAGGCAGGCCCAAAATGGGGTTGGACTGATGGTGACCTGTCCATCTCACTCTTGACCCTTGTGCAGCCAACCTCAACACTTGGGCAAGAGCTGGCCAGTGTGTCCAGGAGAAAACGGGCCCAAGGTCACGGGCAGGTTCACTGGCATCATCAGAACCTATCCCATTGGCACCCTTCCTGCCCCCAAAGCCTTGGGGAATCTTGCAAAGCCCCACCAGCCTGTCACTACCAGCAGACCTGGATCATCTCAAAAGAGATGGTGGGTCACAGCCCTCTTCAGGGATCTCAAGGGTAATTCAAAGACCAGTTCTAGTACAACCCACTCAGAGACACCTGGAACCCAAGCTGCATGCTTCTCCCCACCTCTGTGGCCCTTGGCCATGCGATGCATCTGGAAACCCTCTCAAATGCCCAGAGAGCTGCAGGTGATGGCAAGCAGATTCTGAGCACCAAGCCACTGCTGTCTAAAGTAATAGAGCCTCTCCCATGCGGGCAGCTTCTGTCCCCCAAGTCTGACCCTGGCCCCCAAGTTGGCATTCCCTATGTCACATTCTGTCCACAGGGTAGTGCTGCCTGGCCCATGGCGTTGAGAGGCTTTATTTTTAGTGCCAGTATTTAAAACTTGAGAGGTTTCACTGAGCCTCCAGCGCTTCTTGAAAAAAATAAAGGAAAAAACCACAGTAAATCTGACAACCCAAGGCTCCACCTTCTTTCAGCAGCAATCTGCTAGAGCTGTTTACAGGCTGGCCCTAAGAGGGAACACGTGGCCCCCAGCTCCCACTGTCCCCATTGGTCCGCTGAGGGCATCTGGCTCATGACCCTGGTAGGAGTTAGTATGAAAAGGAGACTTCTCAGAGGTCACAAGCTTCATCCCCTGGGACAGTTTACAGGGAACGTCAAATCCCCAGTAAAATAAACACCTGCAACATCTGGTCCAAGACCCTCCTCTGGTCCAGCTACACCCCCAGCTGCAAAGAACACACATCAGGAGAATCCCGCCACAGAGGCTCAACTAGGGCAAGGGGGCAACAAATAATTGAGACATCTGCAGTGGGGGGAAGAGGGGGACTCGGTCCCCCACGGCTACTACATAAGACCCAGAGCAATGGCCCTGCGGTGTGCCGTGTCCAGAGGGAGGAAAAAAAGTTCAGCACAAAGCAGAGGTGGCCATCACTGATTTCAAAACAAAACACTTATCAAGCCCTCACTCGTGCTCGGTCGAGTCAGACGTTGCCAACTCTATTGCAGCTCTAGGATCTGTAGCCCACCAGGCTCCTCTGTCCACCGGATTATCCAGGCAAGAATACTGGAGCAGGTAGCCACGCTCTCCTCCAGGGGATCTTCCTGACCCAGGAATCAAACCCGCATCTCCTGTGTCTCCTGCATTGGCAGGGGGATTCTTTACTGCTGAGCCACCAGGGGAGCCCTAAGCACTCACTAGGTGCTTGGAAAAACACACAAAGGCCCAGGGTGAGGCCAGGACCCACTAAGGAGAAACAACTCTCCCACCACAATTCTCCACGATCTTTTCTCTTCCTCCACCTCCCCTCCACTTCCCTCGGATGCTCTGTCTCTTCCTGTGAGGTTCCTACGCAGCCGGATGCCCTTCAAGTCCAAAGTGCCTACACCAGAGCAACTCTCAGGTGGCCGAACGAAAGATTCGTCTGCACACCATTCCTCCATTTTCTGGCCAAATACAGTAGACTCCACCCCGCTGGTTCCTACGGAATCTCTGCTCTTGGAGAACATGCCCCATAGATGTCCAAGACGGCCACCATCCACAAAGAAGACCTGACCGAATACCAAGGACCCCATGGGTGCAGTGTGTTGGCACTTTCCCTAACTGCCAGCTCTAGGTTTCCCTTCAAGCCTGTCTCTCCCCAGGAAATGGTGGTCCTCCCATCAAATCCCAGAGTCTTCAGCCCAGAACTAGGCTTAGAGAAGAAGCACTAGGCTCGTGAGATTCCATCTGCATGGGTCTAGGCAGAGCTGAGCCTGCGGAGGCCCTGCCACCATCACACACGGCTGTGGTGGGAGGGGAGAGGCGGGAGGCGGAGGCACAGACAGGATCCCAGCAGAGCCTGGTCATCTCAAGCATGTCCCAAAGCTGTGTGACTTTATATACTGGTGTCTCTGCTTTCCAGAGCTCTTCGCCACTGAACCCAGGATCTATCTAGATGTGACACTTGACCTGGACCTGCTTTCCCTCAGCCAACCCTACCCCAACACACACACACACACACACACACACACACACACACTTGCGGACATGGTCTCTGAAGAGTAATATTCACATCACACACTACACTTATATAGGGAATTTCCTTATATTCCCATTAAGTTGCAAATTTTATCATAAAAAGTGAACAAACTAACCCCCTAGTCTCAGGTTTTACCTTCCTATAGGAACCTCAGAGATCATCAAATCCAAAATCCTCATTTTAAGATGCAAAAATCTGAGCCCCAGAGAAGTGATGGGACTTGCCCCAGGACACACACTAGCGCGAAGCCAGGTCCAGATCTCAGGCCTCGGGCTTCACTGCCCAGGACTCTCTCTCCCTGCCATATGCTTGCCCCCACCCACCCACCGGTTTCCTGCAGCCGGGACCCAGCTCTACTCACATATAGCGCAAGTGGGGGTTCTTGGCGAAGGCTCTGGGCTGGATGTTGCGAAGTCCTGAGTTCTTGATGGTCCTGAAGAGAGAGAGGAAAAGAGGGTCAGCAGAGCTTATGGGGTAGAGCTACAGTTCTGCTCTGGGCCGAGGCTGACAGCCAGTGAGGCCAAGAGTGGATGACAGCCACTTCTGCAAATAATGCATTTCTTCATCACTGGTCATCACGCGTGGTCCAGTTGAGGGACAGGACCACAGGACCAGTGGGCAGGATCTGGGCTCACATCCACTGGGACCTGGGTGAGGGTGAGAAATGTGCCCATCCTGGCACATGGATAAGACAGGTCTAGCGACTATAACACTGCAGCCTCCTCTGTTTCCCCACCCCAATTTCCCCGCGGACACTCACACTGAATCCAAAGGAGGAGGTGATTGGAAGTACCCCTGCTCCTTGGGGACCATCGGTCCAGCACAGGACTGAGGAAAGCGCTAACTCAGGGGACATGGGCTCAGGTTGTATCTTGAAGCCTGGACTACGCGTGGGCTGGCCCCTGCCCCACCCCCGCCGGGAGCCGGTGCACTCACAGCTTCTGGAGGCCAGTGTAGAGTTCCATGTCCACGGCGTTGAGCGTGTGCAGGCCGCGCCAGTTCTCTATGTGTCTGCAGGGAGGGAGGAAAGGCAGGGTTCAGGTCAGCAGAGGGATCACCGGAAAGACGCTGGCTTTAGTGCCAGAGACCTGGGCTTAAATCCTGGAGCAGCCACCCGTGAGCCAGGCTCTCCACCAAGTCTCCTGTGACCTCTGAGCCTGCTTCATTCTCTCTCTGCGTGGGCCACACACACCACCTGGATGATGGGCTTGCTGGGCGATCCCAAGTTCTGAGCCCATGGACAGAGTTTAATGTCCCCACATCCCCTGGGCTCTAGAAAGACTACTCTTTAAATTCTTGATATTCAGTCTCCCTGCAGGTCTTCCTAATTCAGTTTCTTTCCATTCTCTTTTAGTTCTTTTTCACTTCTAGGAATTTTTTTTTTTAAATAATAGGCTCATTTTCTACATTCCTGACCACAGAAACAATACAAATGAAGTGACTTTTTTAAGAGGGGTTGGAGGGAACTTGCTCGTGAACATGGCTTTTGAGTGGAAAAGCCCAGAAGGAACACACACCACCTCAGGGTCCCCTAGGGGCCTGGATCCCCTTTGGGTGAGAGTGAAAGTTAGTCACTCGATTGTGTCTGACATTGCGACCCCATGGACTGTAACTCTCCAGGCTCCACTGTCCATGGAATTCTCCAGGCAAGAATACTGGAGTGGGTAGCCATTCCCTTCTCCAAGGGATCTTTCCGACACAGGGATCAAATCTGAGTCTCTTGCATTGCAGGCAGACTCTTTACCATCTGAGCCACCAGGGAAGCCCCCTTTGGTTACCATGACCCAATTCATCTGGAGTTCAAGGACATCAGTGGCTTCATATGGCAGAACCAACTCCACAAAGGAGGCATGGCCAAAGGCCTGGGTGTCATGGAAAGAACAGGAGGCTGGCATTTGAGGAGCTAGATTCCAGTTTCATCTCTGGAACTTTAGCAGCCATGGCTTTAAGCATGAGCTCTCAACACTCTGGGCCTCTGGTGTCCTCATTTGTAAGGGGAGAGGGTTACACCAGATCAGCAGTTTCTCCCCCATCTCTTCAAAAGATCTTCTTTTAGAACTTTCTCCCAAGAGATTTCATGCTTAGCTCCCTAAACATGTGTCAAGCAAGCACACACACTTATTAAGCAATAATTAATTCATCTTCTCAGATTTACTAATCCAAGATATAAATCACTGTTAACCAGAGCTTTTTATCAATGGGCATAAGCCAACACTGACTCACCCAGCAGATAAATTCCAGCCCAAAGCAAAGGAACTCTCAAAAGTACTGTTAGCATGGAAGGGCTCGTCATGGCTATGGATTTAATTTCCTTTGTTTGATGTATATAGACAAAACACCAGGGACAAACATCCTACATTACTGCTTTGGGGTCCAGGTTGAGTACCATTAGATCAACAGTCCTCAACCATTTTTGGCACCAGGGACTGGTTTTGTGGAAGACAATTTTTCTACCGATTGGAGAGGGTGGGTAGCTGGGGGATGATTCAAGTGTATTAGACTTATTGTGCACTTTATTTCTATTATTATTATATCAGCTCCACCTCAGATCATCAGGCTTTAGATTCCGGAGGTTAGGGACCTCTGCATTAGACTACTGATTACCAAGGTCTTTTCCAACTCCAAAGTCATCTGAGAGGAGGCCATTCATACACACCCATCACCTCAAGGAGCCACAGGAAAAGGCCTCCCTCCCGCTGCCCTCCTGGGATCTGACTCTCCCATCAGTGCCCCCAAAGTCTAAGCATCCTCTTGGGGAGGAGGGGACAGGCGTGACAGCTCACACTGGGACAGTGATACCCAAGGCACAGAAAAGACAGCCACCTTCCCCAGACATCCCCTCCCAGGCCCCACCCCACCCGTGGTTCTGCCATCTGCCATCAGGTGGGACCAGAGCCAGGAAGGCCACAGGGAGGCGGTGGCCAGGCCTCTGGAAGCATTTCAGAGCCGCGCAGCGACAAGGTATGCCAAGAGTCCTTTTTGTACCACATTCTCTCGGAGCCCCTGCTAAGCAGCCAGACACATTAGCATCTGCTGGGGACATGGGCCAGGTGGCCAGGTCCATACTAAATTCCTTCTCCAAAGCTTTCTCCCCTGGAAGCTGCATGGCCCCAGGACAGTTTGTTTGGTCTGGGTTCGCCAGGGCAGGGGCCCTGGCTCCACGTCAGCTGAGAAGGAAGGCCAGAGGGAGCAGTAGGACCTGTGCCAGCCCCACCCCCACCCAGGGTATCCACTCAGTCCATGTAAACCACCAAGTGTTAACAGATTGCAGTGCTCCTACCGACGGGTATTCATTCATGGGAGCCCAGCTTCAGACAAGCTCCCAACAAGCAGCTGTCGATCAAGTTGTTTAAATAAATGAAATCAGTTTTCTGAGCCCACATTAGAATTCCATAAATGTGTTTTTATTATGGCTGAGTTGTCAATCATTATCGCATTTGAATACTTGACTTCTCTCAGCCTTCCTGTCCTTATGCCCACAAATGACCCTTCCCCGGCAGAGGTGCTCACTGAGACACAGCAGGATGGTGGCTGAAGTCCTTGGTGCATGGGGCACTTTCATCCATATCATACAGCCCCTTGTATCTTTTTTGGGTCTGAATTTTCCTACATCAGGGAATGGCACTTTTATAGCAACTGTGTGATTAGGAGTTGCTGCTCGGAAGCTGGGTTAGCCACTACAAACTCCAGCCCACCACCCATTTCCATACAGCCTGAGAAGTAAGAATAGTTTTTACACTTTTTTAAAAAAATCTAATGTAGAATCCTATTTTGTGACATGTGAAAAGTATATGAAATTTAAATCTCCATGTTCGTATCTGCTCATTTACTCTTGTCTGTGACCACTTTTCTCTGCAAAAATGGAGTTGAGTTACTGCTACAGAAGCTCACTTAAAATATTGACTTTCTGGCCTTTCATAGAAAAAGGTTGCTGACCCCTGCCTAGAGCCAGACTGCCAGGATACAGATCCTGTCTCCATCGCTACCTCTATCTATGGGATCCTGTCCAGGTTTCTTCACTTGTCTCTGCCTCAGTTTCTTCATCTGTCAAGTGGGAATAATAGAATACCTCCAGCATAAGAGGGACGTAAGATCGCATGTTACATTAAAAAGCTGTTATAGCAGCTGGGGTCAGAGTAAGTCCTCAGGGAATGCCCACTGTGATGATTACTTCTAACCTCGGACTTTGTAGAGGCTGGGCTTCCGTGATGACACAGACTGTAACGAATCAGCCTGTAGTGGAGGAGACCCGGGTTTGACCCCTGGGTCGGGAAGATCCCCTGGAGAAGGGAATGACTACCCACTCCAGTATTCTTGCCTGGAAAATCCCATAGACAGAGGAGCCTTGGGGGGTTACAGTCCGTGGGGTCACAAAGATATGGACATGACTAAGCAGCTAACATTTTTACTCTTTTCACTTCTGTAGAGGCCGAGCAGTCTTTTCTCAGTTTTCATGCTTAAAAGGGCAGACTGGTTCTGCTGGAAGTTGTCATTTCTCAGCTATCATTGAGGGAAACTCTGAGTGGCAGAAGGGTGGAGGGGCAGTAAACCTGTCATTCATGACCTCCAGGAAAACTGTTCGAGCTGAAATTATAAACAGCGTCAGAGGATGCACAGACGGCAGCACCGAGCGGGTTCTCAGCGAAGAGCAGAACCGCGAAGGTGCAGCCTGACATTTGCCGTTGACGTGGGCAGGGCGCCTGCCAAGCTTTCCCAGTGACTCACCACTTGGTACCAGCCCCAGGGGTCGTAACTCTGCTGGCTGCTTTGTGCTAACGCAGAGACCATGCGTTTAAGTGGAAAAGGCAGGCTCTAAAAACATAATAAATAAATAAGACCAAGTCTGAGAGAGATCTGCTTTGCTTTGGTTCGTGGTAAACAGTGGTTCCCTTGGCCCAGTACAATTACATGTGACTTCTTTATACAGCCTGAGAAGTAAGAATAGTTTTTACACTTTTTTAAAAAAATCTAATGTAGAATCCTATTTTGTGACATGTGAAAAGTATATGAAATTTAAATCTCCATGTTCGTATCTGCTCATTTACTCTTGTCTGTGACCACTTTTCTCTGCAAAAATGGAGTTGAGTTACTGCTACAGAAGCTCACTTAAAATATTGACTTTCTGGCCTTTCATAGAAAAAGGTTGCTGACCCCTGCCTAGAGCCAGACTGCCAGGATACAGATCCTGTCTCCATCGCTACCTCTATCTATGGGATCCTGTCCAGGTTTCTTCACTTGTCTCTGCCTCAGTTTCTTCATCTGTCAAGTGGGAATAATAGAATACCTCCAGCATAAGAGGGACGTAAGATCGCATGTTACATTAAAAAGCTGTTATAGCAGCTGGGGTCAGAGTAAGTCCTCAGGGAATGCCCACTGTGATGATTACTTCTAACCTCGGACTTTGTAGAGGCTGGGCTTCCGTGATGACACAGACTGTAACGAATCAGCCTGTAGTGGAGGAGACCCGGGTTTGACCCCTGGGTCGGGAAGATCCCCTGGAGAAGGGAATGACTACCCACTCCAGTATTCTTGCCTGGAAAATCCCATAGACAGAGGAGCCTTGGGGGGTTACAGTCCGTGGGGTCACAAAGATATGGACACGACTAAGCAGCTAACATTTTTACTCTTTTCACTTCTGTGGAGGCCGAGCAGTCTTTTCTCAGTTTTCATGCTTAAAAGGGCAGACTGGTTCTGCTGGAAGTTGTCATTTCTCAGCTATCATTGAGGGAAACTCTGAGTGGCAGAAGGGTGGAGGGGCAGTAAACCTGTCATTCATGACCTCCAGGAAAACTGTTCGAGCTGAAATTATAAACAGCGTCAGAGGATGCACAGACGGCAGCACCGAGCGGGTTCTCAGCGAAGAGCAGAACCGCGAAGGTGCAGCCTGACATTTGCCGTTGACGTGGGCAGGGCGCCTGCCAAGCTTTCCCAGTGACTCACCACTTGGTACCAGCCCCAGGGGTCGTAACTCTGCTGGCTGCTTTGTGCTAACGCAGAGACCATGCGTTTAA